CCAAACTGCTGGCATGCCGGCCGTCATATTTTGTAGGTAATACACGGACCATTGATAAGTGTCACGTACAACCCAACTTCTTTGGTAGAGAGCTGCCACAACTTTATGGCTATAACCCGCAGCAGCGACAGGATGCAAATGTAACATTGGGGACATTACCCGCCCAGGTCAGATCAACAATTAGTTCAACACATTTACTCACTATTTCAATTATAGAACTTTTGCTGTATCTTTTTTTTGTAAAAGGAAAAACACAAATATCAAACATCAATATAGAACAGAAGACTATTACCAGAAAACATATTATTAAAAAACTGTTTGGTTATTATATATATTGATTTCGTTATGAATGGCTGGCGATGGCCGGCCTGTATTGGAGTAGATTGTGCTTGATTTGCTCAGTAAGCATAATCTGTAATTGTAAATTTCTCGGTACATATGTTTTATTACTATTTTTTTTTTTGTGAAGGATATAGGTGTTTATGCTGGGACGACATTCCAAGAAAATCTTTGTTTAATTTCACCATTTGTGTATGTGTAAAAAAACTGTAATCCTTATAATCATAGCTGGATTAGCCTGTTTGGGGCCTTGGGCGAAACGTTGAAACCCTGTTGAACATATTACTACCTGATGAAGCTGACATGGTGATCATGTTCACTTACCTATACACATCCAGCAGACACAGAGCAACATTAGCATTCATTTAGCGCTGTATTTCTAACCACCTGATAGATGTAAGACCACTGTTCCCTTTCTTTTAGCTCTGTTTTGGTCCCCACCACACTCTAGCCAGGCTCTCACCCTGCTGTTCTTCTCCATCTCCAGCAAGACCTTCTTGTGCTGCTCTGCAATAGCCAGCGTAGAGGAATGGACCCTCTGGTAGATCTGCTCTCCCTCTCTGGTCTGGAAGGTGTAGAGGCCTTCACCGCTGTCACACATCCTACACATAACAGCAAGATTAGTGTGAAGCCAGTGTGCAATACAGCACAGCACAGAATGGCCAATACAGTATAATGGAGGATTGTCTGGAAAACCTTAATAAGCTCCTACTCCCTCTACACTCAATAGAAATGAATCAGTGTGAGATTTCAGGAAGTGATTCAGTGTCCCCTGACACAAATGTAATGGAAACACGGAAGCATTGTCAGTTTTAAAGCCGTTCCACATCATGTCCAAACCTCCATTTTTATGAAAAAATGCAAATGGAAAACCGAGTTCCCTTGATTGTAGTTAATTTGGGTCAGATCAAAGAAAGACATGATACATTGTTTGCTTTTAGTCGGCGTTCACACTGACTTATTATAAACTAATAAACTAATAAGGGATAAGAATAAGGATAAGGATGTTTATTATCATCGTAAAAACATACAACGAAATTAAGTTGGCTCATCAGTCAGTACAGCAGCAACAAGGTAAAAAATGTATAAAAAACATGCACCGATCCAACTTTTTCAGTCCCAATGACGATACCTGGGCTTTGGGAATCGGTCGATACCGAGTACCGATCCCATACCAATAAAATGTAACAAATAAATACATATATATATAAATGCACTAAATTGTCAGTTATTAAAATAATGGTATCCAATACCAGATTGGCCTAATGCCACTGATGCCAGATCCAGCTATTTTCAGTCAGTATCAGAACGATATTCGATATCTTTAAAACAAACAGAACCTCAATCAAATCAGTCGGATATCTGGGCCAAGGCTTCCTCTTCCAAGCACCAGTCCAATTAGCAACTTGAGACGCGAGAATGTAGTTAGAATTGAGAGACAACATTCCACAAGCAGTCAGTTTAAGCTAATAAAAAGCTAAGTCATCATGAGGCAATAGCTGGTGGGTTCAGAGCTTGCATTTCGGCCAAGGCGTTCTTATCTTTTTTGCTCTCCACACAGACCGTTTACCTGCATGCTACCCAACCCCGCTCCAACGTGATTGGTCAACACTCCTCGGATGACAAACACACTACAAACCGGAACCAAAACACTTCCGGGTTTGGCCTGCATCATCACCGCTTCATGCACCCACGTGGGGAAATTAAATTAATTTGACACAGCAGCGCTGTACTGGACCTGATGTGTGTATTTATGTTGTCTGGTGTCACAAAGAGCTCACAGAGAAATACCTGTTTATGAGCCTTAGTAGCCCATAATGCCTCGTATTTCAGGACGACGGGACAAATAAAGAGTGCCGAAAGATATCTATTGACCAAAAGACCAGACCGAGACCACCGATACATCATGAAATATAAAGCAGTTCAACAGAGGTGTATTGAGCTTGTCTTCTACTCTGTGAATTTAATAGTTAAAACAAGTAAAGTGTAGAGAGCATACAGTAACTATACTTCAAGATGTTACAGAACAATAAGCCTTTTTTTGTCCTATTTATACCTGTTTGTTATTATTTAAATAATCAGCTCAACTAGTAATAATCACATCAATAATCAGGCATTTCTGTGTGAGCTCTTTGCGCCAACATTATACACACATTAGGTCCGGTAGAATGATGCATGCCCTATTGTCAGTCGATCAATCTCATTTCCCCGTGTGTCTGATGATGCTGGATCACCAAAACTGTCCAATGAATGAGCATCCTGTCACTCCGTATGATTGCATTATTATAACTCTTGGTTTGTTTGCAAAAAAGTCAGTCGACTTATCATTTCCGGACCACATGACCTGAACTACTGGTGTGAAAGTGAGCCAAGATTCATATTCCTGTGCCACGTTAAATGACAGTGTCAGTGTACTTTCACAGATGACTTTACACTTCGTACTTAATACTATTAGTACATTAATAGTAAATTAACTCGTTTCAAACAGTCTGTTTCCAATAAGTTTAATGAAAGGAAGTGGCAGTGGACGAGCTGTAAATGAATACACTACAAAGGAGACACGGTCTTTGGGGGCGACGCAGTACAACACACCCACAGACAGAGGGCTCTCTCGCTACACACACACTGACACCTTTATCTGCATCCAGACCCAATCATAGCTCGTCAGGTTTTGTCAAAGAGTGGGAGATAAGGAGGTCTGACCCAGCATTGATTCATCGTCTAATCTATTCAATCAATCTCTTCATGGACTAAGAGAGAAAGAGAGAGAGGGAGGTATCCTTGGACTGACCGTAAGCTCACTGACAAAGTGCACAGGCACACACTTTGGTTTCGAGTTCTAATAAACAGTTGGGCGTTTCATATTAAAAGGGTAATTTCTGTATTTTTCCTATTTTACTATGTTTTGGTGTCTTAGTGACTAATGGAGACATTTAGTCCGTTTTTTTAAACTGGTCCAGTGTTGAAGGAGAACACGGCAGATGGCTGCCGCTAAACTGGCTACAATGTAATCATATCGCACCACCAAAGTGCTTTATTTTTTGTTTGTGAAAGTGTCATGTGCCTTGTTGCCGGAAGACAATAGTGGAAACGAGAGTGAGAGTTCGAGGGAGGAGTCTCAAGTCTCTTATTTGATTTTTCCTCGCTCGAACCGTAAGTTGTTCTGCACCGTCATCTCGAAGGCCGTCCCAAAGCTCTTTTTTGGGCTCTGAGGAGCAAGATCGAGGAGCGTGGTGGGATCTGTGAGGCGCCATGAGCGAGGATACACGAGAGCAGCCTTCACGGAAGTCTTTTAACGGCCGACATGCCCCGCCATATCAGTTATTGAGTGGATGCTGCATCTGATTGGTCAGATCTTAAATCACTCCCAAATGTATTTTGTTTTCTGATTCACCATATGTTAACTGTAGATCTGAACAACAAAAGGACCACAAACAACTGTCTTCATTTATTAGAAATATTTGTGTTTTTATGATCTGTTATTTCATATAACGGGATCATTTCATTCCGTCACGTGAGGCTGATAATTCCTGAGCGTTGCCGGGGTTGATGCGAGTTAAATAATTTAAAATTTCCCCGAAAAATCAACTCTCCATGCATCGCTGGTGGTAGGGACTAAAATGCAAGAAAAATACGCAAGTGAGGGAAATGTGGATGCAAATGAGAGACTTGGGATGTACCCGATGTGATGCAAAATTTCAGAACAGGACTTCTGCGATACCAAACAGACCGGATGAAACGAAAGGTGAAGAAAAAGGTTTCGTTTCTCCGTAGGGTTCTTTCCATAATGTTGTCAGACCTTTTTAATAACAAGCTGAGCCTGTCAGTGGCAAAAACGAGCACTTTTGACGGTTTAGTGCTCTCCCTCAATACTGGACCAATTTCAAAAATGATTTTTAGTCACAACAACATGGGAAAATAGGTTGAAAAATACCAAAGGTGCCCTTTAAAAAGGGTGAACAAAATGTTGTACCTAACACTTCACTATGTATGTGTGTGGCAACCCACGATGTGTGTGACCTGCATGTATGTGGGGACAGTCAGCGATCAAACATCCCCCAGCCATCCCATTCCCCGGTCTCACCTTCCGGCTTCGAAGGTGAAGCGGGTGGCGTCGCGTCCGTAGCGCCGCAGGGAGCAGAGCGGCCAGGTGACCAGCTTGGTGCGGGGGTTGTGAATGTCCCACAGGTAGATGTTCTCGTGGGTGATCTGCATCATGCACTCCCCGTAGATGTCCAGGTTGGGACAGGGCAGGAGGAACACGTTGAAGCGCTCTGCAAGGACCGAGGAACGACATCAACAAAGTCAGGGGTCATAGTTTGAGTTGTTTTTAAGATCTGAGCTGGAGGCCCCTACGCTAAACCACAGACCTGCAGTGGTGGCAGTAGAAGCTTAACCACCCCCTTGAGATGGAAATTTTGACTCTGCTTGTTTGATTTTGTGTGTGTGTGTGTGTGTGAACTACCTGTGTGTTCACACTGCACTCCGGCAGCCAGGAGGTCCGGCTCTCCCATACTGATGTCATTGAGCCGTGTCCCCAGACACTCGATTGACAGCGTCTTAAACCAGTCCTCTGCCTCCAGCTCTGTAAAGAGAGACAGAGAGATATATCACATCTACTAGAGAGACAGAGAGATATATCACATCTACTAGAACCAAGAGTCTTGTTAAAAACGAAGTCAAATGGTGAAATGACGACCTCTTCTACGGGCAGATGTTTTGAGACTACTGAGACATCTCTCTCAACGATTTAATGATGAACAACACCCAGATGGACTAACTGTGCTCAGCTTCCCGCGGTACACCTTGAAATATTCCACATATGACGTGCTTTTTACGTGTCTGTTTACGTACATGTTACACAAACGAGACACACCATGATAATTAGTGAGCTTTAGAGCCGTTGATTGGTGTTTATTTGTTTTACTTTGGACTGAGCCACGCTAGCCGTTTCCCCCTGCTCCGTCTTTATGCTAAGCTAGGCTAAACACGTCCTGACCCCATCTCTGTTCTTCAACCACAGGCATGAAACTGATATCAATCTTCTCATCTCACTCACAATCAAAGCAGCGTATTTCACACAATCTTGCGCTATCCCTTATATTTTTACTAAGGCTCTGGTGCGATAACTGCATCAACAGAAAGTATGCATGCTCAAACTTGGGTGGAAAGTGGTTTTGATCCAAAACCGAGTCCAAAAGACAGAGTGGACAGGGATGTGTATTTTGCAGTTTGGTGTAGTGTGTTGAGGGAGGGTTTAGGGTCGAGTCCTGACAATACAGAGCTGTCAATCTGTGTGTGTGCGTGTGTGTGTGTGTGTGCGTGCGTGTGTGTGTGCGCGCGTGTCCGTACGTTACCTGATTCACAGGTGAAGGTGCGTGCGGTGTCGTCTGTAAACACAATGGCCACCGCCTGTCGCTTGGTATCTCGAGGCAACCGCGTGATATTCTTGACGTTGCTAATCTCTGTCACCTAAGCAACAGGTTGAAGGTAAAATTGTTAACAAAGTTGATCTTAGTGTGAGGAGTTATTTTTCAGCAGCAGGTATTCCAGAAGAAAATGTCTGATTGACATTCTTCATTGACGATGTCAGTTCACTTGAAAAAAATCTCCAATTGTGAAATTTGTGGAAATAAAACGAGGTGAGAAGATTTTAATCGCATTCAGTCTGAAGACACTCTCTCATACACTGTTTGTAGCAATACCTACAAAAAGTAGTGCACTATAATTCTTATATATCCCACGTAACCAATTTGTATGTAAGCTAGGACAAGGGAAGTAGTATAAAAACTGACAAATTCCACATTGGGAGGAAGTTGGAGAGGTACAATTTGGTCTAAAATAACACAAGACTTTCATCCAGGAGACTGCTGTTCATGTCCCGTGTGGAACCAAAAATCAGTGTTGACTTATTTGTCATTATCATTTGAACCCAAACCACGACCTTTTCCTAAACCTAACCAAATAGTTTTGTTCCTTAAACACTGCGGGGGCTTGCACAGGTGCACTGATCGCTCGTGCTGCTAAACATTCTTAGGAAAACGCAGAAAAAATAACGAAGAAGATATAAGATTTTTGCAACCGGTGAACAGAAGTTACCATATTTGGAATGTGGAAGAGTGACGTAGACATGGCGTATACGGCTCTGGTAATTGGCAGTGACCTGTCAATCACAGAAAGCCTGCTCTACAGCATACTCTGCGTTTTATGGTCTATTTGACTCTAAATGGACCACCATTTACTAAATGAACATCATGCTGTATTGAAGAAGACTTGAAACTAGAGATTGAGACCATAAACTCATGTTTAACTAATTAACAGAGAGGTAGGGTCATTTTCCCATACACGTCTTTATGATAGGACTTCTTTTGGCAGTCAGAGGTGTCGCCCCCTGATAGAATGAAAGTTTTAAGGCACTTCTGCATCGGCTTCACTCTGCAGAACAAGAGGTTGCCGCCTGGTTTCACCATTTATGGTCCTTCTCTCCCCCCAAAATACCTGTTTCCTTCTGTTTAAATGAATGTAAAGAAAAATGTATTCTTTCCGATTTAACTTCAATGACAACTCATAGCTGGCAAAACGTGCCATTCTGCTTTGTCGCTCGCAGTGAGAACACAGCGTTAGCCAGTTAATTGGTTGGTATGGAATAAAACTACTGTCTTGCACAAAAGTGAAACCCTCTGTGAAACCTCTCGTACGGCTTTATAATTGTGCTTACAGTGAAAATAAATGGAAAAAAGGATTAAAAAATTGAGCAAAGTCCCTCTGCAGCTTCACTTTAGGCCCCCTGGCGTGTTGAAGGACATTAAGTGGAGTGTGAAAGCAGGAGGTCAAGTGAAGGAGAAGTGGTGATGATGATGGTGAAGAACGAAAGACGAGTGATTTCTGAGAGAGACGGAGTGAAGAAAAGAGAAGAAGAAGGCTGACTACTTTCATCCCTGTCGGTGTGTGTCTGTCAAGTCTTTAGTTTTCTCCTGCAGAACAGAGTATACCTGTCACTCACACACACCCTCACACCCTCACACACACACACACACACACACACACACACACCTTAGGAAAGGCTCTGATGTAGGCAGACTTCTCATCAGGGTATTTCTCCAGACGACGAGGTCCTTTGCTCGATGACTTCTTGAACACCAGCCAGCAACGCCGATAGATCTGTGATATAAATGCACAGTTTTTGGTAAAAGTAATTTAATATTCAATACTACTTTTGTTTTTGTCAGAAACAATAAGAGGATCAAAATCCAAACCTTGTGTGACAGAACAAAAACAAGTTAACAAGCCTCGACTAACTAGTAACAGAATAAAAGGCCTACACTATTACTACTGTACGTACAGGACAGTATGTAATGTATACTAACATATGTGGACTTGCTGACATGATGCAATGTGTGTTTGCCAGTTAATCAATAGTTGATTTATTGTTGATTCTGTTACTAAGCTGAGAATGACTGCGTCACACATAGAAAAGGTCGTGAATAATAAAAACATTTAAAAAAAATCCATCTCAGAAATGTTTTTATTGGAAAGTCAGCACCTAAACAGTTACAAGAGTCTGTTGCCAGCGACCGGCCGCATGCTAGGGCATGTGACTAGCAGAGAAACTTTGTCCAGTAAAGAGAAAGTGACTTTCTGAAAAGAAACACTGCATGCCCTCTTGCTACGTTGCACTCTGGACTGAAATGTCTCAGAAAACACTACAAAACAACAAACTGAGCTCAGAGGTGCAGAAATGAAATGCAACCTCTTTTTTCTTTTAATCAGCACTATGCAGTAAGCCAATTTCATTGGTTTAAGTTGAGGTACAAATACAGAGGTAACTGTAAGGCAGGACTTCACATGACGCTGAACTAACAGTCTTAAAGGTGTATGCATATGAAATAGGCGTGACAAGATCAATAGTCTAAATGCATTTCGTAGCAAGGAAGCTTAGCGGTATCTTTAGTCAATAAGATGTGACACCTCCTGATAAATAATTCCGTTTATTGACTTATTTCGAAATGCCCATGTATCCATCCAAGTCTCCTGCCGACGCAGCACTTCAAGGTTACCACTAATGCCATGTCTGGGGAAACATCATTTCCCTGCGCTATAATGTGAGCAAAACCCCTCTGGAATAAGAGGATCTCCAAGCTGTTTCTCATCAGTTTCATCTTTGAAGATGTGAGAGGGGAGCAATTAGCACTTTCTGTCGTCTTTCCCTCCCTGCCACCCCCTCCCCCTCGCTCCTCTCTTTAACTTCACTAAGCGCTGCTCGCGGTTTGTCTGCAGAGACTCGATTACTTCAAACACAGGATGGGCGAAGTGATATGGGGGAAGGAGAGATGAAGGGGAGGAGGGAGATGGATGATATGGAGGATGGGCAAAAAAAGAGATGGTGGGCATGAAAGCAGACGTACGGAAAGCAGGCAAGTGAGAAAAAATTCGGGCGATCCATTTTCTAAGTCTGATTTAAATGATTTTCTCTTCTGTGTTTATGACTTTAGAACAAGTTAATTTTTTTTCATCTGTGAAATGGGTAGGGGACAAAGTTTTGGCAGGTGAACATTTTTTTGGTCTGTGAGCTCAACGCAGTACAAACAGGTGCAAATAGAAAAAACACAAGAAAATTACAAAAACATTAAATGAATTTGACAACACACGCACAGCATTTAGAGAAAAAAACCGCAGCCAATGGAGAAAACACAGAACAGAAACATGCTGAAAATAGCCCGGACGACAGCGTAAACTGTTTCCAAAGGACGCAGGGCACGCTTGTTGTTGCCGTGTCTATGGCAGATTTTATGCACTTAAGCCCAGATATGGAACATAGTCATTGTTTTGAAAGTCACAGGAACATCCCAGGTCTCCATTGTTCCGAGCCAAGTCAGTCAGGTGAAGACAGATTTGTTCCAAGTCCAATCTATTAATATTGTTCTTTAAGTCAACCAATGCAACATTAGGCTATAGTTTGACTTCTGTTGGACTATTGTCATTGAAGACAACATTTAGGCTACCAAATGTTAGAAGCAAAGTTCCATTACCACATTGTGGGCCAGATTGACTGAGGAAATGGCGTTAAGCAAATGTGCGCTGCAGTTTTCATTGAGTCTACAAACAATCTGTGTCTATTTAGCTTCAGATTTATTAGGACAGAAGCTCCAAACATCTTGACCAAATATTCACTTCATCCATGGTTCAAAATAAATTCAATTGTATTAAACTTTTAAGCATAATGGGAGGTAATGGGGAATGAAAAGGACACAGTACATGCAGCACTTAAACGTCTTAACAAAATAAAGAATTGCAGTTGCAGCCTTTAGTCTTCATTGAAGAGGCTGAGAGTTTCTTTCGCAAAACTGACAACAAACAAACAAAGTGCGTGTCCACTCACACTGTTCATGTTTCATGTTATTGTAAGGATGGAGAAATTAGAGTAGCTACAGCACGCACAATTTGCAGTTTCGGGAGTGGTGAGAGAGAGAGAGAGAGGGGGGCATTATAGCAGCTGTGGTAAATTGACTTACAATTAAAAAGCCCATTCAATTTCGTCAAAGGAAATACAGAGAGGCTGTGGGGAGGGAGGAGGAGACAGGGAACGGAACAGACAACAGCAAGAGATAATGAAGCAATAATGAAGGAAAGAGGAACGAATACAAGACTGGAGAGGACAGCAGGGGGGAGGTTTGTGACAGAGAGGGACCGGGACCAAGAAGACTGGGTAAAAAGACAGTGGAAATGAACATCAGCTGTTTCCTCTCTGTAATACAAAGGTGCTTAACATTGCAGGATTAAAATAATAAAATACTCTACATAAAAATGTAATTGATCGAGTCAGACATTACAAATGTCTACGTGGATAACAAAGGCAAAATATATAGCGGTTTTATAGAGGTAATAGAAATGGATCATGTGCGTATGGAAAGCGGTTTACTTGAATTCAAAACTGCAAGACATGAAAACTTCATCAGGAAGTGAAGTGTGACACCACTGGTCTTTTGTTGATTTTGATTTGTTAAAACACAAATATGCTGTGAAATATGTCACCTTGCTCTGAACCCTGGGTTTCGAGAGAATTTATTGGTGTTGTGCAGAGACGGGGACTTGGACTTAAGTCGGACTTAAGTGGCACACACAGTGACTTGTGTCTTGACTTGGACTTGCCCCTCAAAGACTTGAGACTTGACTTGGACTCTAGCTGAAAGACTTGAGACTTGAGTTGGACTCTTGTTTAAAAACTTGAGACTTGACTTGGACTTGCCCCTCAAAGACTTGGACTTGGAAAAATGACTTGTGAGCAACTTCTAGTGTTGTGTCTCATTTTGTTTTGTTTTTCTTGCCATAACCTGGACCCGAAAAGTGTTTACTCAGAACCCTAAAAAGACCGTCAGGACTAAAAAGCAAAAGTTAGTATATCACTTCAGCTATGTGAATTCTAACGAACACCAGATCTAATAGGCAGGCATTAACATGGCTGATACCCTGTCGGCGTTGCAGGTCACATAAAGCGTACTTGCCCTAGAGACATTTTCATACAGTACACAACTACTACAAAAGAAACAGCTATAAAGTGATGAATACAATTTTATGAGATTCACAAACACACCAAATGACTGTATTAAAAAAATGTGATGCATTTGGTCCAAAACCACCAATGTGGAAAGTCTAGAGTGAATTATTTTCATGCAAGCTGGCAGGATGTCAGCGGGATTGACCAGGTGTGTCTCTAACACACATCTAAAACAATAGATATATGAGCAACTTCATAAAGTGAGATTTTGAACATGAACGCTGAATCATACAATAAAAGTAATAAATAGTCCCGATAAAAACTGTTCATAGTAAGGTCTGTAGATTGTGGACATGGATGGGGAGACAACCAAACTCAGGTGCAGACTAAAGCAAAACAACTCATTGTCCAAACAGCGGTAGGCACAGTGTGTTCTGGATTGAGTGGAACATACAATTACAGAGACGGAGAAAGAGAGAGTGAACAAGGGAGGTCGGATAATTTACCTCTGACCGGCTGCTGTTTTCCCAGGAGAGCAATACGTCATCTCCCCCCCACCCCTCCCCCAGCCCCCCCCCCCCCTTACCCCCCCCCCCCCCTCCCCTTGCCACCCAAGTAACCACCCACCTCAACATGCTGCCACGGCAACCAAACCATCCCGCTGCCACAGCATCAAAATCCTGCTGAGCGCGCATTTTCTTCATCAGCCCATCTGACATAGACAGAGGGAAGTGGTGTGTTTGTGTGTGTGCTTAAAGGTGCAATGTGTGAGATCTGGATCGCAATTTACAACATTCATGAAATGAACAAACATTATCAACTGCATGTGAAGAGGTTACAGCTTTGAAGTTATGCCAAAGACGTCAATGTATCAACCTTTTAACAATTTGTATACAATGATGACGTAAGTAAGTGTAAGCTTGTCAAGCTATGCAAGAGCATTAATCACTAAAGATTCCAAATATGACCTAAACTAATTGACTTTTCAGATCTGTGTGCTATTAGTGAGTGCATTAACAAGTGGCCCAGTATTTAGTGGCAAGATATATACATGTGTTTGGTGGAGAAACCGAGTGTGCAACATGACACCAGCAATAAATTACAAGCATACAAGTCACTAGATGCTTCCAACTAAGTTATCTGTGGTCATGTACAGAAGGTCAAATACAGTGACATGGAGTTTTGAGTTTATTGAGTTTTAAAATGGGCGCTACAACACAAGCATTTTTTATCAGTACAGTGGAAGTCAACACATTTATTTGCTTGCAGCCATGTACGTCAACAGTGTTTTGGTCTAACGAGTGACCATGTTAACGAGTGACTTTCAGCCGAATGCGGCCGTCCTTTAAAAATAAAAATAAAAACGCGACTGGCCAGTAGGATGTCTCGCATAGCCAGACCTATCTCCACAGCAATGTGTCAGAGCTGAAGAAAGGTCAGGCTCCAAATATTACCATTCTGACATCTGGGGAAAATAAGCTTGTTTGTATTTCTTGAAACCAATCACAATCATCTTTGGCGGTGCTGAGCACAGAGTGCAGTGACGGAGCTCTTGCAAAATAGATAGCTCAGATTGTGGAAGGGGAGCAGACCCGGTCGCAGACATCTGATATCCATGCGCTGGCCCAATGTAAACATACTAGGCGGCGCTGGCACTTGAGTTTAT